CAGCTGCCGTTAGCTCTAGCTGCCTCAGGATGTATACTGTGTCGCACGGCCCCTGTGCCGCATCCTGGTTTTTGGGGAACCACGGTTTGAGAGTTGAGCGTTAGGGTGTAGGGTATAGGGCTTAGGTAAAACCAGGCTTTGTATAGAAGAAGTAGGTTTTTGAGCTTTGGGTGGATCCAGATGCTTTCGGAAACTGTTTATCCTAAGCCAGTCTTCTTAGGAACCGGGGCTTCCATACCTAGGGTAAACAATTTTCTGGACTCAAGTTAAGGCTGTTCCACTTTGGTTGCGGCTTGCACAAAACAAGGTAACCACAATGTTATAAGAAACAGGACATAAGCTGCTCAGATGGGTGCTTCCAGGACCTGGACTCTCATGACCCTTGCAGTTTCTAAAGTTGTTGTGGAGGGGAGACGTGGGCTTTATGAATTTTAGGGCTTATAGGGAATATACGTTTCAAGGTGATTTGGATCTCAGAGAAGCTTTACGCGCGATAGCCGCCAATGCGGGTTTTCGTGCGGGGGTAGTCTCGACGAAAGTGAGCAAACCCGAAGGGCTCCGGGTATAGTCCCCCTAAGTAGATAAAACATGGCCTTAATAAGGGTATATTACAATAAGATCCCCATATACGCCATCTTCTATTTACTTAAGGGGGACTATATATGGGAGTCACAAACTGATTGTGTGGATGCCTTTCAGGGATGAAATTGGGGTGATATGGGTAAACTCCCATATTCACCAGGTTGCAGAGTGAGCCTACTCGGCAAATCCGAGAAACGGAAGATCATAGCCCTCAGTACAGGGATTCGCTAAACCCTTAACCGCTCTGCAGGATCCCTTTGCTTATAGTCCCCCCTAAGGTAGATAGAACACGGGGTATATGGGGATCTTATTCTAATACACCCAAAGCCATAACAAAAAGGCCATGCCCTTTGTTTCGAATCTCCGGTCATAGCGACCAGCTGACGTTTAAACAGTCTACAGGATGAGCCTTAGTCTCAACTCCAGGAAAGGGATTAGGGTTTAGGGTTTAGGTTATTTTAGGGTTATATTGGGGTTATATGAGGGTTACATGAGGGTTATATTCGGGTTATATTAGGGTTGTATTGGGGTCACATTAGGGTTACATTTGAGTTCTATTTGGGATTAAGTATACAGGGGGGTACTTTAGGGGTTAAAGGGGGATACTAGGATTTTAGACTGTAGCCCGAATGTTAGCTTAGCATGCGCAGTATCCGCATCTAATCCTTATTCCTTATTGGCGTGCCGGCTCCTTCCTGCACCCCTCCTCAGCACGTATGAAAAGCAATAGGGACTTTGTATGACTTGTTCAAAGCTACCCCCATATGATTTTTACAAGGTTGCAAGGGCTTCCTCATAGTCCACACTTACGTCAGTGATCCTAAGGGATCTTTGCTAGTTACTTAAATAAGGGGACCCCAATATAGACCTTGATAGACTACACTACTTATTATGGGGACCCCCAAAACGGTACCCCTAATCTATCGGAACCCCCATTTCTGCTTCGAGAAAGCCTCCGTCAGGGTCCGTCGAGAAGGAAGATGGCATGCAGAGCAAGGACGTCTACCTGCTGTAAGGGTTTGATTAGGATGATCTAATTACACTGTAAGCCCAACCCTAAAGGCTATATAAACCCTTTTCATAGAACTCCTAGACCCAAATATGGTGTGCAAGAGCAGGACATGGGATATGGTTCCCTTGCAGAGCAGCTTTTAGCGTTATGCCTCCTGTGCACCAAACCTCCAGCCGTAGTATTGGCATTTGAATTTGTGTCAATCTGTCTTGCGTAGCTCAATGTGGTTCTCCCAGTCAACTATTGACCTTAATGAAGGAGAGCGATGGTTCGGGCACCTCAGCAGCAGAATCAACGCCAAGCAACGGATCTCGCATTTCTGGCACCCCCACTTAACTCACTCGAGGGTCCGGGTACCTGCCAAACTTTGGGGGCTAGTGTCTGCTAGCTCGGTAGCTGATGCAGGGAGTTCGGGATTTCGGGTTTAGAGGGTTAAATCGCCCTAAAGTGTATATACTGAGCCCACGCGCGCAAGACGGCGAAAGGGCAGGCGCAGGCGCAAGGAAACCCTACTTCTGGGGCATCGGTACTAGAATTTGGAACGGCATCCATATATAGAGAACCCAAGACCAGCACCAATGGCGATGAGACCCCCCTCTCCAAATGTTTTGCGCTAACATGCCCTTTGAGATCGCCGTCCGCTTTATGGCGGGGTTCGGGAGGTAGGATCTGCAAACCAAAGGCATGAGTGTAGAAAAGACCAAAGGCTAAGGAAACTGTTATATACTGCCGAAAGAATTTTTCAGGGCTTGTGAGCACGCCCCGATTACGTTTGGAAAGAGATTGAGGGATGCGGTCAAGTTTTCAGGTTAAAGGGTTTACGGAGATGAGAAAAAGTTTTAGGGCCCAGGTCAGATTTAGGAATATCAAGCCTAGATCCTACATGCGAAGCCTGAAAGCTTAAAACTTAAACCCCAGATACACTACGAGTCTCAGGATTAGTTAAAGTCCTCAAGCCACTGCAAAGCACTAAAGTCTTGCAACCTTGCTTTGCCCGTGCAGCTTGGACAGAATCGGAATACACCAGCCTTTACATACTACAGGGGCCTAGGGCCTATCCAGTCACCTAAGCCCTAAACCCTGAACCCCTAAACACCTAACCCCCCCCCAAGTGGACCTCAACATGACATTGTCTTTTTTTCGGGCCCTTGTACCTTGGACGCACGTACAGCCCTCATAGTGAGAACCCTGAACCTTACGCCGCCTGAATCCGTAGAAGAATCCGAGATTCATCGGGTTCAGGTTTCTTATGGAATATTAAGGGGAACCAGAATTGGGGCGGGGGGGGGGTGGTTGGTGGTGATCTAAAGTTTTTTTTTTTTTTTTTTTT